TTTTTTTTTTTTTTCTTTTTTCCCTCTCTCTTTGAAAATACAGACTGATTAAGGTCTGCAGTTTTGACTTTACATGTTTACCTATTTTATCGAGTAAATAGCATCCCAAGGGATAAACCTTTAGAGGCATTGTTCAGCTGTACCTCCGACTCGATGGATTCAGCATTTGATATTATGTCTTAAAGCTAGGAAATACGGTGAAATGTGGTAAGTCATACTTTGAGGTCTAATCTGTCTCAATGGGACTCAATGGTACGGATGTCGTTGAAGAGAAAAGACCAAATATAGAAAAAGACAAAGAGAGTGTCAGGCGGGATGCCACAGCCTCATACTATTACGTTGGACAGATATTATCCATTACTTTTGACGGCAAAAGTGGGATATTGAACAATTTTACCATGTAGAATATTGAAAACAAACCAATACCGTTAAACCAAGCCGTAAGATAACATCTCGGTTTATGTAGAGTATCCCTTCTCAAGTTTACTTCGGCTAGCTGCTAACTCTGCAAGTCTCGCAACTGTACTACCGATGATATCAAGAATAGCAATATTGGCTTTCAGCTCCGCAGCAAACCACGTAGGAAGCTCAACAGCGACGAGTGAATCCACCCCATATTTGCCCAGGTGTTTATCTGGATCAATGTCCTTCTCGTCCAATGCCAACGCGCGTGAGAGTTTAGCAGTAAGAGCCCTTGTAACTGCCTGGTTACCGTCCGACACAGACCGGGCATTGTGCATGGCTGTTGCAAGCTGGAAAGTCTGCCCTCGGTTCGTTAAGTCTTGTGACTGTTCTTCATCGAGTGTCATACACCTGAAGAGTGGCTTCTCCAGCCAAGAGGCTGTCCTCGACCCTCTTTCTCTAACTTCGGGTTGAGCTCCGATTGATGGTTGACAGTCAAGCTCATAGCCATGTGAACAACTACAGTAGCAGTCGAGCAAGGCCTTAAGCTCAGATTCTGTTATGGGCGCAAAGACTGAGTTTGATTGCCATCTTTGCAGAAGTTTTGGATTGCTCGCCATAGCTCCGGTATAAACAATGTGCCCCAGGTCTAGTGATGCAGCCCTCTCGCCCAGGTTCACTCTATACCGCGTGAGAGCGTCCTGGAAGGTATTTCCCGCAGCATAATTAGCCTGACCATGAGCGCCAATGATGCCCGTTGTGGACGAAAGTAGAATGAAGAACTCCATGCCCCTTGGCAAAAGACAATGCAGATTCCATGAACCCTGAGTTTTTGGCTTGACTGCTGCCTCCCAGTGTTTGTATGACATGTCCTCGAAAGTGCAGTCCTAGACCATGTTAGTATGGAGAAGGAAGTAGGTAGGATTACATTGACCAACCTGTAAGACCATGGCAGTCTGGATATATCCCTTGATAGGCGGTAGTTGAGACTGCCATTCTTCAAGCACTTTACGCAAAGCGCTTTCATTGGATATATCACAAGCCGGAGCAATAACCCTAGCACCTTTGGACTGTAAGGAGTCGATAAACTTCATGACTTCAGTTCCTTTGGCGCCTGAACGTGAGAGCAGGAGGAGTGTTCGGGCGCCACGGTCCACAAACCAGGCTGCGATGCTTTGGCCAATACCACCGAGACCACCCGCAATGACATATGTTGCGTTACCATTACAGATGAAGTTAGACTTTGTCTTTAACACGGTCTATTTCACGGCTTTAGCAGCTAAAGGCCCAGGTAAATATGCTGTACGTACCATGACCCTGTCCTCCATTCGCATATCGATTATCAGCTTTCCTTGGAGCTTGCCTGTCTGCATGGATCTGAAAGCAGCCTCGATCTCGCTAATTCCGTACGCAGTAATTGGCTGCACTGGCCGCAAGATACCGTTTGATATTAGTGATAGTATATCTTCCAAAGCCGATAAGCAGACTTCTGGGCAATCCATTATCAATCCCTCTAAATCGAACGCTCTGAACATGGTATTGCGAAGGAACTTGCCCAGGGGCAGGTTGTTATTCGACAGGATATCTCGCTTTCCAATTTCAATAAAGCGGCCATATGCTGCAATGCATTGCCACGAAGCCAGCATTGCATCACCGGATAGAGAGTTGAATACCACGTTAACGCCTTTACCTGCCGTTCTTCTCATTACCGCTTTTGCAAAACCTGTTGATCGGCTAGAGAATATATGGTCGTCAGGAACACCGTACGCCTCGACCAGCAGCTGCTTTTTAGACTCCGAACTGACTGTCGTATAGACCTCTGCACCAATGTATTGTGCAATTTGAATAGCCGCCTGCCCAGTACCGCCGGCCCCTGAGTGGATTAGTATCGACTCCCCGGCTTGGAGGGAGGCAGCCTTTCTCATTGCAATATAGGACGTAGCAAAGCTAACTGGAATGGAAGCTGCATCTGCGTATGACATGCCTGCGGGAATGATTGCGACTGGACCTGACTCTGGAAGGCGAATGTAGGGGGAAAATGTGGTAGGATATAGAGCAGCAACGCGGTCTCCAACCTTGATTCTTCTACATGAGTCCCCGACATGGACGACAACACCGGCACATTCCAGGCCCGTTTGGTTCGACTCGAGTTGTCCCAGCGACACCAGTAGATCACGAAAGTTGATACCGACCGATCTGTTTTGGATTCCAATTTCGTTTGGTACTAGAGGATGTTGTACAGCATCATCTTCGATAAATTTGAACCCATTTAACATGGAGGGTGAGGATACATCCAATTTAAGTGGTGGGCCAGAGCAGAATTTCTGCTTCCTTTCTACAACCACTTGTTCCTGGTCAGAGATAGCTTTATTTAGAACCGGATCAACAGTTAAGCGGGGAATTTGCAATATTCCGTTGTACTCAATATACTCCGTATCAATAGGTACAGTGGCACTCAGAATTCGTTGGGTAAGCTTCGCGATGGTCTCATAATGAGGGACCTTCGGCTTTTCCGTAGGGTCAAGAGTAAGGACGTAGCGAGATCTGTTCCCATCTTCCTCTGGTAATACTCTAAACAGCCCATCTATCAGGTGTGACTTCGGCAATGAGGACTCTTTCCCCCCTCCGTTGGTCACCCATAGTATAGGGTCAACCGAAAGTAGAAGAGGCTGAAGTCTATCGTATATGTCCTCCCCGATATCATAGAACACTGGCTTTCGGTACTCTAGGAGGAAAACTTGCAGGGTCACCCTAGAAGAAGGGGCCGCATCCTGGATTGGAATGAGCCTAACAGATTGGGTTTGAGTTGTGTAATGATGGGCAAGAGTACGTCCAATGTCCAGCTGTGTAGGATCACTAGGCTCATACACAATGTCAATGGGCTGATCATAGGCTAATTGAGATGGGTTTTGTGCTGCTGTCGAAATAATGACTGCATTCTCATGGCATATCCGATCATCGTAGTCTGGGAAGAAGATCTCGCAACCCGCATAACCAGTTTGTAATAGTAGTGTGTTCCACTGGGATTTACCCACAAATGGACTGAACGATCGGTATGATTCCGAACCTGCTCATGTCAGTGGATAAACATAGGCAATCCGTGTCGCAAAGCACTAACCAAGCCACCACCCTTCGAGAAGGCCAAATGCTCCAGCGGCGCGAATAGCGGAGGTATTCGTCCCCTCGACTAATATTAATTTTCCACCACTTTAACGGATTAGCGAAGTGTGCACTTGGGAAAGTTGCTTATTTCCCTTACGATTTCAACAGTCTTCGGGCGTGGGTCAATGTCCTGGCCAGATCCGAAGTAGCGTGGAACACCTGGACATATAGAAAGTTAGTACCTGGTTAGAGGATATATTTAGTGTGAAGGGAGCCCGTACCATAGAAGCAAGAAGAAGGTCATACGCTGCATATTCAAAACCCTGATCGGCCGGGTCCTCCTCAATGTCTAATGCTTTGAACGCTATTCGACTTCCTTCAGACGCAAATCGCTTTGCAGCTTCGCCAAAGAATGAGCGCGATATATCCGTATATTCCCAATGCGCGTATCTAGGGTTCATTGAATCGCGCTCATGACCGTTTCTGAGAATGCGCAGTAGAGAGGCAGTTGCAGACCCGGTCCCAGCGCCAACCTCTAGAATCTTCATCTGCGGATTTGCATGGGCCAAGAGATCAACATACTTCTCCAAGTACCTGAAGCCGTGCGAATATTCCACCTGGGAGAAAATAAAATAAGCATTAGAGCAATACAAGCCAATGGATAGGATCAGCCTCACCCCTTCCGCATAAAAGTCCCTGGCCAAGTCATCCTGGTACAAAAATGCCAATGGGTCCATCTCATTGTCCAAGAAGTCTACCAAATGTCGCGTGACCCTTGCAACCAGCTCCCCTTGCTTACTCTTATACATTCCTCGTGATTCAACACCTTCGATGAAATTTGTATCACTGAATCGGCTCTTCCATGACTCTGCGGAGAACATAAGCTCTCCGCCCAGGAGCTGTTCTTGGTGGTGCCTCATCCAGTCAATATACCTATTAAGGTGCGGCTTTTGGGGTTTGATATCGCGTTCTGATATGACCTGCAGTGTTTCCATGATTCTCAGCATCACGAGAAAGTCAAGCTCGGCGAGGAAGTCTTTGGGATGGCCAAATTCGGATGTGCTCCCTGACATAAGGTATGGATTTCCTCGTTGCTCAGGAGATTAATATCTGGCTTCCACTCAAAGCGATGACACGGCTTGTTCTTCACGGGACTCGTATTCTCTGTAGGGGCTTTCGACGTAATCGCGGTATATTTCAGCCCTTCGATAGACACCATCACCTCGCGAAGATCCAGGTTAAATGCCTTAATAGACGTCAACAATGCCCCATTTTGTGAGGCCACCGTCATTGTGTGGGTCTTGAGGACATTGCATTTGGGACAGTTTGCAGCCATCCACATACTTGCGATATACGTGGGCACAAAGGTAGGAACCCTTATTGTGCCTCCCTTTGTCATGGACCATATCGTGGTCTGGAAAATCCCATCCAGAGAAGTAGGGTGAATTGTATCTTGCGTAGATACTCTTGAGTTGTTCACATCTCCAATGACTTCCTGTTCACTACTTTCACCCACGGCCAGACTGTGTATCTGCCTAAAAGTCTTGCCGTATTCAAACCCGCATCTGGTCATATGATTGTATATCACCTCACTGTAAACAGGTGAAGTGCATCCATCTTGTACTTTTGAAACTGCATTCAGCGAATCAGTAATTTCCTCTCGCTCTAGCTTGTCCCCATAGATTGGATCAGGTTCGTCCGGTTGGTACATAATATGGATACGTCCATGGCAATTTTCCGTCCAGCAATCATTCACATATGTGCATAGCTTGAACGAAAATAACTGAGAAAACTTTGTCTCTATGGCATCGCCAGGTCGCATATAGAAGCTCATCTCGATACCACCGCCTCCTCGAGGAATTTGAATGCTGGCAAGAAGTGCTGTATCTTCAAGATTGAACCCGGAGACCACCCTGCCTGGACTTGCAAGCTGCTTGGCTGCCTCTATGGGCATGGCAAGCATTCCTGCCGCAGGATATATGATTGTGCCTGAAATCTAGCTCCTATTGTCAGTTCTCGCTTTGTTACATATACTGTACAATCTTCAAACCTGATGATCCTTAATCCATGGCAGATCTGAAGCCCGAATTATATGCCGCCAGCGTGGCTCTAATGGATTCCAGTTCGATTCTGGGATGCCAAGCAGATCGTTCTTGTTCACCTTTGGAGTTGCTGGTTTCTGCTAATTTGGCTTTCGTGCCAATAGGACCTGCTATGATCGAAGGGATATTCGGGTAGACAAGGTAAGCACATTGGTCTTTCTTCTTTGGAGGTGATTAGATTCACGCGAGACAGATTAGTCGGGTATCCAGCAGCATATAAATGACCGACAGCTAGTAGAAAGGTTTCCACAGCTGATGCTCCCCTGACGAGTACTGAGTAGTATGGAACTGCGGGGCCCCGGATTGCCTTCTGAATATCTTTGATGGGGCCCTGTAAAACTGAGTGAGGTCCAACCTCAAGAAGATGGTGCATTCTTAATGACTGTCGATGACTACCATCGAGTTTTTTAACGGTCACATCAGTGGTATTTGAGCAGAGTGTAGTCAAAGCATCGCAAAGGTTGACTGTCGAAACCAAGTTCTTCATCCAATATGATGCGCGTTGCATCTCACTAGGTGAGATCCAGGTCCCTGTCACGGAAGACAGGATCTCTGGGCATTTGCCTTTATGATCTGCTCCTTCTATCAGACCCATGGCCTGATGGTACTGTGTCGCAATATCATCCATTTGGAAGGAATGGTATGCCACTTTGACTTTCAACTTTCTGCAAAATATCTGCTCCTGGTCAAGGTAGTCCTTCAGCGTGTTTATCTGTTGCTGTTCTCCAGATACTGTTACACTATGAGGGCTATTTATGCATGCAATCGTTAGCCTTGAAGCCGAGTAGTGGGCAAACGTCCTTTCAAGAAATGGCGCAATGGCTTCTGGCGACAGAGTAACCGCAAGCATTGCGCCATTGATACTGCTAAACTTTTCGAGTTTGCTGGTCCATAATCCGCGGTAAAAGGCGATCTTCCATGCAACCTCTCGGGGTATAGCATGGGCACAGTATCTAAAAAGCTGTTAGATAGTATCATGCCATATCAGGGGATTTAATATATTATCGTACGCAGCGGCAATTTCACCTGACGAATGTCCGACTACAGCTTCAGGGACTACTCCTACATGACGTAAGAGATCAGCCATGGCAATCTGTAAAGCCGTGCAGAGGATTTGGCTGTACTCCGTTTGGTTGACATTGGACTCAGCCTCTCCCTTCTGTAGCTCGTCTGTTATTTGTAAGCCATGTTATTCTATAGTTAGGCAGTAGTGTTATCCTTCTTACCAACCAAGTCCCAATGGCATCCAAGACTCTGTATATAGGCCCCAGCTGCCTGGATACTATCGCGAAATACATGGTAAGCATCAAGAAGCTCCCGGCCCATAGCATACCACTGTGCCCCTTGCTTAAAATTGTCAGATGTCAGTTACGAATAGTTCGAGAAAGGGGATCTCCCGTACCCCAGAAAATATAAATGCTACATTGGGAGAAGGTATAATCTGTTCTAGTGCGACAAAATCATCAACCAGATATGACCAGTCATCACTAGGATGAGCGACGGTGAACGTTCTCCAAGAAAGATGATTTCGACGGAGACCCAAGGTATACGCTAGGTTATTAAGGAAGCGTTGTTTCTCTGTGGTAGGTATCTCAAGGGAAGAGAAAAACGAGCTCCAGGAATCCTTAAGGCGGGAGAAGCCATCCTCATCTGTCGACGATAAAACGAGTAGCCTAGGTGAAGCGATCTCGTCCTTTAGCAAACCATTCGACTTATACACAGTTGTGTTATGGTTCGCTTGGGAGCGACTGGTTTGCAACGAGTGATAGGCGTCATCCAGTACTATGTGTCCGTTCGAGCCCCCAAACCCAAACGAATTTACAGAGGCTCGCCGTAAGCCGTCTGTTGGCCAAGAAATCTGCTTGTCCGCCACCTTGATCCGAAGGTAGGCATCGTCGATCCTAGGATTCAATTGCTGAAAATCGGTATTTGGGCGGATTATTCCTTTTTCCAGAGCAATGACCGTTTTTATGACACCCGCAATTCCGCTTGCACCCTCCAGGTGACCAATTGTGGATTTGACAGATCCTCTGTGGTTTCTCTGTTAATATACATCATCGACATAGGAGAAAGGCGACATACATATATACCGGATCGTTGGCAGTCTGATAGTTTTGAAAAACTGTAGATGCCTAAAAGCCCTTTGTTAGAACAAAGGCTCTTTGTCTGCAACCACGTGATTCAAGGCCAGTATAAAAGGCCTTCCTTTGTTCATGATTTAGATAGGAATTCAAGAATTTTACCTTTTATTAAGGAACTCATATTCTTCATCATTTCACAAAAACGGACCCAACTGCCTGAGCTTCAATAAGATCTCCCACAGCCGTTCCTGTTCGAATAGTGAGCTTTTGAGCTTTACTGCCCTGCGACTGAGTAGTATACTGCGACTGGCATAGGTAATATTGGCTAGCCCAGCATACCTGTTCCATGAGCCTCGACATAGCGTGTCAGAGACAAGTCAAGGTCAGCTTTCTTATAGGTGTCTAGAATGAGCTGTTGCTGCAAGGCCATACTAGGCCGTGTTATTCCAGGAGTTCGCCCATCATGGTTCGACCCTGATGAGCGAATCACTACTCTAATAGTATCGTTGTGATTGATAGCATCCTTAAGAGGGCAAAGTACCAGGACCCCAACTCCCTCGCCACGAGCATACCCATTGCCGCGCTGATCAAAGCTAAATGACCTGCTCTCATTGGACAATAAACCAAGGTTATCAAGTGGTATGCCAGTGTCAAGTCCGATGATCACATTGCTGCCAATAGCCACACCCTACGAGTATAAGTAACGGATGATCCTCCTGTGAATGGACGTAAACATACCATAGAGGAGTTTCCACTCCAAATAGATTGGCACGCAAGGTCGAGGGCTATCAGACTGCTGGAGCATGCTGTATCTACAGTAGCACTCGGACCAGTGAGATTGAAGAACCAGCTCACTCTATCAGATAGCATATTCATCGAAACCCCTGTAGAATGAAACTTGGGTACAGTCATAGGATCCTTGACTTGCATGAATGAATGAATAGTCATGTCCAAATGAACCAGTGTACACGCAGGTCTTGGACCCCGAGGCCTGATTGAGCGTGATTCCAGCATTCTCGAAGGCGTGGTAGACAGTCTCCAAGATTAGACGCTGCTGGGGGTCCATTGCCTCTGCCTCCACCGCATTAATCGAGAAAAATGAAGCATCAAACCGACTTATATCTTGATCCAAGAAGTTCCCCCCGCGCGCTGATAACCGATCAAGACGACCGCGGTCAGCGTGGTAAAATGCATCAATGTTCGATCGATCAGGGGGGTGGTCTCTCATTGGTGTCTGGCCCCCTGTAATCAATTTCCAGAACGATTCAGTAGATTCGGCTTCCCCTGGGAATTTTAGGGACATCCCAGTTATAGCTAGCGGTTCCAGAGAAGGACTCATGTTGCAGTATCGTCAAAATGACGGCATGGTATTGATTTCGTGTATCTGATGTTTTCCAATCTTTATTGATAGAAGAGATATTTGAATATTGCACGAGGATCGCCAAAATCTCTTTCGTACACCGTATAAGTTACATACTCTCTTCTAATGTGGGTCGCCAAAGTTTGAATTCATTCTGTTCTTGACGGCGGTCATGCCAGCTCATCGCGTAAACTCTACCGGTTAGAGGATGGAAACCGATGATTCAATAATAAATTAACTTGCGTTGCGTTGCATATTGTCGCTGAGCTTTCCCCACCCTTGAGACTGGTTAAGATATAAATTGAGCAGTGAGAAACCGCAATTCTAGTTGGAATAAGCTTGGATCGTTGGCAGCAGTATGAATAATTCTTCCATCTCTAGAAACCTTATCACAAGGTACTTTGAATATATCTTGCCTTTGAGCTTTACCGTGAAATTGCTAAACAAATACCTGACCATATATCTCTGCCATCAGCCTTAGACTTTGTTTCTCTGCCCAGATGCTCTGCTATTTCGGAGAGTATGCAAGGAACAATGCGCTTTCTCTGGTATGTATACCACGTACCACGTCGCTGTCTTCGTACCGAATACTGCTAAAGCAACCGTAGTCTGCATGGTTTGGGAGATAATGCGCAGGTAGGATGTCCTCTAACCCCATACGTTGCATCTAACCTAATAAGACTTTGATGTTTGATATGCAGATATTACAACAACAAACAGGTAAACCCGACGGGGAAACCATCTCGCGCCATATTAAATAGGCTGCTGGCGAATAGTGCAGCCGCTATCCGGTACGAACTTTCCGATGATTACACGTACGAGTTTGTGGAAGGAGCTATCCCATGGGGACCATGTATGTCCAATGTAAAATCTGGGAACATCCTCGTTCTAACCATGGTACAGCGAACCGAAATGCCGTTCATTCGGAGGCAGCGACTTTCACATACTGTCATCCTGAGCAGGAAGACTCATTCTTACGCGCAATCCAGGATCTAGAACGATTCTTCGAAGATGAAGGTCCTTTCGATGGCGTAATTGGCTTTAGTATGGGCGCAAGCCTTGCAATCACATGGCTGAAACTTAAACAGGAGGCACTCAACAGGGGAGATATAACCAGTCTACCAGTTAATGTTGTAATCCTGTTTTCCGTCAGTCACGTCTATGATTACAAGGTAGTAGAAAAAGGCAACCCAGTGGAATGGGATCCGAGTCATGCTGGTATTCAGTTGGACGTACCAAGTGTGCACATATGGGGTTCGCAGGACCCATCCAAGTCACTAGGACAGCGAGGTACGGAGTTCTTTAGACCTGATAAGTTGTCAACGTATGTACATGAGAGAGGGCACGAGATTCCGTCTTCAATGGAAGAGGTTCCTCATGTGGTGAAGGCTACCAACCGAGCCATAGCGGCGATATCGCGGGTATAACGTATTGGAGATCCGAATTATGGTATGTGAAGCATTCAGCATACAATGGGCCTTGGGCATGTTAGATATGCAATATTTCCTTCTATCTGCCATGCCATAGTCGACTCCATGCATCCGATAGTGACACGGAAACTCCTTTACAGTGGAGAGAGAAAAGAATAAAACCAAAAAAAGATGTTGACGAGAGTGGGATTTGAACCCACGCCCCTTTCGAGACTGGAACCTTACTCCAGCTGAGAGATTATTAGTGAACGTTCGATAAGATAATGAGGAATATAGTGGTACTAACCGCCTTGGACCGCTCGGCCATCTCGCCTTGGATGGAGGGAAGATAGAAATTATTGCCATCAGAAGCAGATGGCACAGAGATCGCTATGCATAAATCCCGAGCTTGATCCCCCGGGCGTTCTCAGTAATTGAGGTATGGCAACTCCAATGTAACCAGCAAATTTCCTTGCTGCCACTCCAGCAGCCCGAGGTAAAAATTGATTGGCCCCTACGATATTATCATAAAACCCCTAGTCTTGTTTCAGGCGTAAGGGGCATTCAAAAATTGCACAGCATGGGATGTAACCTCAGGTGACTTTTTCCTTGTCGCCGCAAAACAGAATTTTAGCCATGCACAGGTATAAAAGTAGAGGAAATAAGAAATCTATCAGGGGTACTCAATTGCGTAGCGCGAGCAAAACTGTTCTGTTTTGCTTTTCCCATATATTCTTTTGTTTTCTGTTGTTCTATTCCAAAAACTATCTCACATGGACTAATTTGAAAATTAGCAGTTAGGAAAGTTTATGAAAGGGGGAAATGCTCTTTTTTGGACCTACTAGAGTTTGCCCTGAAACGACTGAAAAATGGACCCGCGCGGAACTAATGGGACGATGCTACCAGCCTCATCGCTCAAATCACTAGTTGCTTGCTTGTGAATAGTTACTATTGATAAACAAGCTAGCTTTCGCACTTTGCATGTTCAACTGTACATCACTGAGGCCATTCTCAACTCATATATATTCACTACCTTCCTCCGCGCTCGCTTTGCCAAAAGCTACATTGAGACTAGAGTATTATTGAACGCTAGGAAACCTAAGAACCACCCACCATGAGGACCGACATCTCTGCAGTATTAACCATCTTGGTGACGAGCACCCTAGCGTTGGCAGCACCAGCAATGGAGCAGACAAACGGTCTTACCCAAGGTTAGTAAACGCTCACCGCGAGACTAGGATTACCTGCTAACTGCGGAATACTGCCAATTAGATCTCCAGCGAAGGCAGAATAATGCACTACTGAACGCTGTCGGTCTGGAGGATCATTCTAAGTATGCCGATAACAGTGGTGGGTTGCTCAGCAACCTTGCGTCGAATGCGATGATTATCGGTGATCATGTTAAATACACAGTCGACCCGCCCAGTGCAGAGGAACCTCTCCCTAAGGGCCAGGATCCCCCGGCACGCGAAGCTCATCGCAAAGCTCATGTCGCCCTCAACAAAGGCCTTGGTGCAGCCTGATTCGGAACCTCTTTCTCCATTATTTCAAGTGCGAGTGTTGTGTTTTTTTTTTCTTTGCTGTATCGTATGTTTTTGAAGCATTTCCTTTTCATTTGTCGATCAACCACGAAAGCCACTAGTCGATCCCAACGGCAATGTTTCTTGTTATTGCAATTCTTTTATCTATCCTGTTGGAGGGACTGCCTTATGGTCTGGGTACATTGGCTACTGAGCAGACACGTGAGACTGGTCTCTCAGATAATCACTAATTGCAAGTTTTGTTAAGTCGAGCAATATAAATAATTCTCCCTAAAACCCCGAAAGCCCGAGTTTCAGAAGCTCAGGTCCACTTCCGATAAACACTGATAGCCTATTGTGTAATATTTATTTCTACATGTTGGGAGGAGCACAGTCCGAATATAGATGCGAAAGGTACACGCGATACTGAAGGTGTGAATGCAGCTACGATGGATATGGGCCGGAGTGGAATTGAGCTGTACATGAAGGAAACCGAGATCACTCAAGATAGTGAAACTTCACCTTAAAGACTCTGTAGGGTTGGTACTTGATTTTGAACCATCTCAGACTTTAGGGTACGCAACGTCAGGAGAGTGCTACCACATATAACGATTCCTATCATAGGGTGGTTCTAAGATACTTCACAATCGTTGTGTTATTACAAAAACATTATGAGCCCCACTAAGCATGAATAGGTCAGATTCTTACGTTGACATCGATGGGATTTTGGTGTAAATGTACGAGGCACTTTCTTGCTGATTCCTAGCATATGAAACCCTTAGGCTGTAGCGCAGTAAAATCCCGCATACTTTATATTGCCCTGAACAACACAACATCAAATACCCTATGCCGGGAGTGTTTAAGTCCGATAACTTAGCCTTTATCAAGTCCAATTAACAGCCACGAAGCTAATACAATAAAGTTTCTGCTATTCCAATTCTAGGCACGTCGTGATGTCAATTTCTGTGCCTCGGATTGTCAATCAATACTAGTCTTTCACTCATTCCCCCTCCTGTTGACATAAATACTGTACCTTAGCTCCTCTGAAGCGAGTTAAACCCTCATTCTGACTCATCTCCGGCGAAGCGAACGGAAATGTTAGTAGACGGTGTCAAGTGGGCTTGCGGGCCTTGCGTTCGCGGGCACCGTGTAAGTACGTGTGAACACCATGGTACAGCATCGTGTTTCTTGCTTCTCATCCTATTTTCTTTCCCTTCTTTATATAGCTAGATGCTGACATGGATAGCAGATCGGCCACTCATACGTATCAACCGGAAAGGGCGCCCCTTTGTCACTTGTTCCGTGTGTAACGAGACCCCATGTCCCAGGCCGAGGGAGCACTACAAACTACAAAGCAGGTCCAGGGTGAAGAAGACGAAGCTTGCTTCTGAAGTATTTACCCCTCCTTGCTGCTTCGGTCATGCCCTAATCACGAGTTTGGAAATTACCATATGTTATTAGCGAAATAGACATCAAGCTAATTCGAGGTTACCGGGCCCAATCTTTTAGAAAAAAATCACCCGAAGAGGTTCTTCCCGTGCGAACCCAGCGTGTTTACCACTTGCACCTCGGCATACTGAAACATCAACGGCCTCACCAACTGTACTCTCTACGAACGGTCCTACTGGTCCCCAACAAGTCCATGTACCCGTCAATCCCAATACTTCCGTGGAAGCTAGTAATCAACTGCCAAGCTTAACTCCGTTTTCGCCAGACCAACAACAGCAACACAATACATTTAGGAGCAGATGCGAAAGCTTTACGGCCCCTGGGATACCCCTTAGATATACGTATAGAGATAACCAGCTACCTGTTATGGGAGCAATAGAGTCGGAAACGAGCGTCAATTCGGCCGTCCGTCTCCCTTCGTTGAGGACACACGTCCAACAGAATCACCCAGCCTGCGATATGGTAAAGCACTTATTGCCCAGTAATCCATGGTAATAAGTATTTGGCCGACAAAAAGAATATGGTCGGTAAGTCGCGAACTTCCTAAAGCTATACAAGCTGTGAATGTGGAAGATTAACATCTGCGTTGGTAGGCTACTTC